AGAACTCACAATCACGGGAACAGAACCAAGGAGGCCGGTGCTAAACCATTCAGGAGAAATCTGCCCCCTGTGATCCAATCACCTCCTACCAGGCCTCACCTCCCGCACTGGGGAGCACAACTCGACAGGAGATTTAAGCTGGGACACAGATTTAAACCACATCGTCTAGAATGAAATCCAGAGAGATATTTGTGCTGTGGGTCTTTATAAAATTGTAAAATGTATGATAGAGAACAACGTTCTCAAAGACATCCTGTAGTTAGTTTACTAGGACACTTTTTTTTTTTTTTTTTTTTTTTGAGACGGAGTTTCACTCTTGTTGCCCAGGCTGGAGTGCAATGGCACGATCTCGGGTCACCGCAACCTCCGCCTCCTGGGTTCAGGCAATTCTCCTGCCTCAGCCTCCTCAGTAGCTGGGATTACAGGCATGCGCCACCATGCCCAGCTAATGTTTTGTATTTTTAGTAGAGACGGGGTTTCACCATGTTGACCAGGATGGTCTCGATCTCTTGACCTCGTGATCCACCCGCCTCGGCCTCCCAAAGTGCTGGGATTACAGGCTTGAGCCACCGCGCCCGGCCAAACTAGGACACTTTTTGATGACATATTTCAATGTAGACTGATAGCATTCTGTCAAAAGGGCCGGGCACGATGGCTCACACCTGTAATCCCAGCACTTTGGGAGGCTGAGGCGGACAGATCACTTGAGGTCAGTTCAAGACCAGCCTGGCCAACATGGGGAAACTCCGTCTCTACTAAAAATACAAAAAATTAGCCGGGTGTGGTGGCGTGTGCCTGTAATCCCAGCTACTCAGGAGGCTGAGGCGTGAGAACTGCTGCAACCCGGGAGGTGGAGGTTGCAGTGAGCCAAGATAGCTCCACTGCACTCCAGACTGCGCAACAGATCACGACTCTTTTTCAAAAAAAAAAAAAGAAACATTTTCAAATTATGTCAAAGGGTAATTTCAGTAAAGTAATTCTACAATAAAAACAAAATATATTGAAATTTTTCATAATAAAATATCTTGACTATGCAAGAGGACAGTACAGGAAGAGAACCCACCATAAAAGCAGATGGTTGGTTCCTACCACCAGCTCCACCAATGCCACAGATGCCACTTTTCTCCCAGTGGCTGCTCCCTCACCTTCTCTACACAGTGGGAGGATTGTCAGTGGTTCCCCAGTCCAGTTAGCACAGGAACCACCAGAGGGGTCAGAAGGGAGCCAACTGGCATGAGAGGGTATCTGAGGTTTCCTCTAACCACTGCTCAACTCGGCTCCCTCAGGGATGGAAGCTGCTCTCATTAATAATAAGTACATCTTTGGTTGGCAAGGCCCCTATGTAGCGTGGAAACCAGAGCCCCAGCAGGAGGACGCCCTCCAACACAGTGCTGACTTGGAAGGAACTGTAGAGATGACAAAAATGTAAGATTCCATCACTGCTGCCCTTGTATGCTGGAGGAAGCATCCCTTTTCTTTTTGCCATCTTGTCATAACAAGATGGATGCTGTTCACATGTGAGGATTACTCCCAGGGGAGTTCCTGCCAGCTGTGACTCGTCCTCTCCCACTCAGGAACGCATTAGGTTTTGCAAGCCCAAAGTTATGTAATCCATGTTAATTTATAATATTCTAAGCCACTGCAAAGCTTCAATGTTTTATTAGTAACACATTTTTTTGTGACATAGTTTCTCAACAAATTAAGTCACCATATTGTCTTCCAGACCGAGGTTAAAGCTCTGACATCTGTGCCTACCACCTCTACTACTACCGTCTCAAGTTCACCCCTAACCAGCTCCCGAGAGACTGGGAGAAAACTGCAACTGCATTTCAGGCCCATAGCACATTTTTCTGAGTAAGGAAGCAGTTTGGTTCTCTCCCTTGGCGTGAGAGGCCACAGTGGGTAGGACAGGCTTTGGATCACACAGTGGTCCCAGGCCCAGCCCCTCTTCTCTGTACCTTATTAGCTAAGTGGCCCTAGGCAGGCCATATACTGTTTCAGACAATGAGATTGAGATTAGAACAATTAGTATTAACTCACAGAAATAATAGAGCAAGAAATGCAAAGTGCCTGGCTCACACCATGTATTTGGTAACTATTAGTTATTTCCATTCATGCCACCTGTCACCTCCACCCTGTGGCAAGCTCCTTGAGATTTTATCTTCTTTGTTTCCTTATGCACAGGGCTTGGCACAGAATCCTTCTCAGCCTAGGTTGCTGAATGGATGAATCCATCCATCCAGGAAACATGTATTGAGCAGCTGCTAGGTTCCAGGCACTGTTCCCCTTACTGCAGATGGGGCAGTGAACAAAACAGCAAGGTCCTGTCCTGGCCACTTGATGCTTATGTTCTAGTGGGGAAAACAGACAAGGAAGTGTGTACTGGGAGAGAGGGAGAAAAATAGAGCAGAATTGAGGGGGCTAGAGAGGTTGGGGGGAGGGTGTGTTGCTCTTTTATATGTATCACAGGAGGTCTCCCTGAGGAGGTAACATTTGAGCAGAGGTTTAAAGGAAGTCAGAGACCAAACCACAGGCATATGTGCAGAAGGCACGCTTCAGGCCCAGGAAACAGCACATGCAAAGGCCCAGAAGCAGGTGCACGGATGGCAGTTTTGAAGAAAAGAAGGCTGGCGTAGCTGGAGTGGTATGAGTGAAGGGCTTTTATCTCGTTCTATTCTGGTCAAAATCAGCACACAACACAATCCAGAAATTGAAAAAGATGTATTAAAATATTCACAAAAATACAACTGAAGATCAAAAAATAATAACGAGCTTGATGGTTTTTCCCTAGCTGATACATTTCCGTTGAAAAACTACAGATAATTTGGAATTTCAATCTCTAAGTAATGCCTTTTGCATGCTCCCATACAGAATTAGCGCATAATTTTAAAAGGACTCGTTTTGCCAAGATGAAGACATGGCGGGGGGCCAGATCTGCCCTTTGGGCAACGCTAGTTTGTTATCTACAGCCAGGAAAGGAGCACTGAGGCACAGGAAAAGGGGGGACCAAAAGGGCTGCAGGGGCGGGTGTGCAGGGCTTGGAAGAGGCCCATCTCAGTGTGAGCAGCTTCCTTCAGGAAAACCCGTCCTGACAGAGCACCATGCTGGCAGCTGACCTTGCCTGGGGAGAAGGTTAGTGAGAACTGGTGAGGATTCTCTGCCAGAATTCCAGGGCACTGACAGAATTTGAGGTGTCTGGTTGGGCAGGAGGCCAAGACATCGGGCTGGGGAAGGGGGTGGGGAGGGAGGAAAAGGCCTCCAGGTGTCATTTGAGTGAGTGGCCCCCACAGCACCAGCTTCACCAACACGTGGTCCCGGCACCGCAAGAAGTGAGGGCTCTTGCTCTCAGGGAGCTCAGAAATGTTTATTCACAGGAACTGTTGAGAAAGAAGTGAAAAAACAATGCCCCTTTCCTCTGTAAAAAAATGACGGTAAGGAAACATGACACAGGCCCAACTGCAATGTGTGTCCTCTGTACCTCAAGCACAGCCTTGGTCAGCTATGCGGTTCTCACAGTGGCAAAGGCTCACCAGGGTCTCAGCTTGAAGGATGGTGACAATCTCAACACCCTTCCCCTCCTAACACACATAAAAGGCCTTCCAAAGGCTCCTATAGTTTTCAAAATAGATGCCCAAAAAGTTTGAGGATGCCAGGCGGAGTTGACCACTTTGTGGAAATGTCTAGCAGTATGTCGCTGTGCGTCACTTTCTTGGGCTGGGCCTGTGAACATAGAAGGCGGCAGAGCAGGCATATTTTTCTCCATTCCACATGGAACACAGAGCAGATGCTGCCCAGCTCCAGAAGATGTGTGTGGTGGCAAAATCTGATCCCCATTAAGTCACACAGATGTGGTACGTTAAGGTGAAGCATTACAGGAATAAACAAAAATAGTTCCTCAAAACACAAAAGGCCTCAGGTGTGGGACAGAGTTCATTCTAAAGCTCATATGCCCTTTATCTTATCACCTTGTGCACACTGTGAAATCTCAATCCTGTTTTATTCCCTTTATGAATCCTCTTACAACTCAGCCTTCAAACATACCCAGAAGATGACAAGATGAGAAGAAAAAGCAGCAGCTCATAGTGGGGTCCAAACTAGAGGGGAGGAAAAGTAACATTACCCCTTGCTGCCACTTACCCCAAACACGTTCTACAGACCAGCTAGACGCGATTCTTTTCATAGCTGTGGGCTTTAGGACAATTTTAAAAGGGGGGAATTTTAAAAGAAAACAGGAGAAATGACAACATAAGTGTTTAACGATCTTTACCATGCTTTCCATTCCCAGTAAAAAGTAAAAACTCACAGATTCTAAGTGTGGTAGGGGTTAGAGAATGGGAGAAAACAAGTTTTAGGGAAGGACAGACAAACTGTCTAATCTATGCTCTCGTTAACCTCAATAGTCTTTGAGGCACCATGAAGCTGTTATAAAGCCATGACTGATGCTTTATAAAGAAGGTGATTCTTTGGCGGGGCACAGTGGCTCACACCTGTGATCCCAACACTCTGAAAGGCCGAGGCAGGTAGATCACCTGAGGTCAGGAGATCAAGACCATCCTGGCCAACATGGTGAAACCCCGTCTACTAAAATAGAAAAAATTAGCTGGGCATGGTGATGCACGCATGTAGTCCCCACTACACTCCAGCTCCAGCCTGGTAACACAGCAAGACTGTCTCAAAAAAAAAAAAAAAAAAAAAAGAAGGTGATTCTTGCCAGGCATAGAGGTGCACCTATAGTTCCAGCTACTCAGGAGGCTGAGGAGGGAGAATCACTTGAGCCCAAGAGTTCAAGGCTAGTCTGGGCAACATAGTGAGACTCTACCTGAAAGGAAGATAACCTAAAAAAAAAAGTGAAAGGAGGCGATTCTCTAAAGAGCGAGCTCTGGGATATTGCATAGTGGCAATATAATGATCCCATTTCTGCCTACTTAGAAGGAAAGAAACTCCTCTCCTTTAGCTGTATGGGGACTGTTATTTCAAGCTAAAAAGACATCAGCAAAGAATAAAACCAATACCTTTTACTCTTCACATTACAGTAGTTCTCAAGCAAAGCTTGGATTTTCTACTTAATCAGTGTTGATCTAAAGTATCCAGAATAAAGTAACCTTTGGCATTTATCCTTTGCTAATCTTGCTATTATGAATCCACAAATTGATCCAACACATTTCAAGGGTGCAATTTAGTCTATACAACATGTAAGGCTAACACTTGCTCCATATTTTAGTATGAAAAACATCAACGAAAACTTCCCAAATTGTTTTCAAGAGGCATAGCCAACAGGTATTTTTAAAAAGCTGCAAACAAATAAATGGTGCTGACACTGTGTTAAAGGCCAACCAGGATATGCGTCCATCACAGCATCGCCATCCTCCAACTACAATAAAGGCTAAGACTGATTAAGCCTTTACATTAAAAGGCCATGTCTACTGGAAATACTACATACAGATCTGCCACTGTCTCCATTAAGGCAAACCATTTCTAAGTGATGGTGATAGGAATGTTTCTGAAATCTCCCAAGTGTAAGTGACCTGAAAATAAAGTACAAAAACAGTAAGACAATAGGTACATATGTAGAATCATACCATCTTTTCATCATGCAACAATGGCTCCTCACATCAGGAAGATTAAATAGAATATTTATACATATCCTTTGTACACATCTTTCTCTCCCTCTGTGAGTACACATGTACTTGTCCTTGCCTGGGTCTCCAAGGCTACATGTGGTAATGGGCTACATTTTCTGCACCAGAGTCCAGTTTGGTTTTGCTTCTTGCTGAGGATATGTTCTAGGTCTTCTCTTAATTTTTCCGGATATCTGCATACACCACAGACTCTGACTTGTTAATCTTGTCACTGTGATGTCCGCCGGAGTGGTCTAACTGCGCATATATGACTGGGCCCTGGAAAAGGGAAGCAGAAAGATCAGAAGTTTGAAAAAGCTGGTGGTTCCTTCAGCTACAGGCCTAGAAGCAGTGATTAACGTGATCACATCAGGGTTCCAAAGCAAAGAGTTCCCTCTTTTGAATGTCTTCAGGAAGACCTCTTATGGATAACACGTCCAGGACTGACTTTGAAAGAAGACTGGGCATACGTTGACAATAGTTAAAGTGGGAACGTGGGGCTTTGTTACATTATTCTTTCAAACATTTTTGACATTTGAAAATTTCTATAATAATATTCTTTCTTAGGAATATCGTTTAACAACTATCACAGAATTCCTCAACTCTTACAATTGGGGTCAGTCTTAAGGACTAAGATGGGAACTTCCACCCATCTGAGACCCACAGAAATCATGAACTTCAGAATAATCAATCCATGCAAGAAACCAACGTATTTGGTGCCACCCAAAGATACACTCAATTTGATCCGGTCACATTATACAAATAGGTATAGTTTCAAACAAATAGTTTAAAAATATTTCAAATATTCTTCAATACAACTACTTTTAATCTGAGCCTATCGTGACAAATACAAATATTGCTTCCTTGATTTCTAATATCAGATAACTGTCCTTCCTGTTTCAAAATAAAATTAAAAAGAAAAAGCAAAAAGCCACAATCTACACAGATATAAAGAAAAACCCTGAATGGAGTAAAGTAGAACCTCTTAGCCTCAGTAGTAAGGAAGAGGTTACAATTCCAGGGAATTGTCAGGGTCCCATCCAGGAGAGCAAGGGAAGGCTGGGTGGCCTGGGGGCAGAGCGAATTCCCTAACTCTTGGGGGAAGAGGTCAGAGAGGTGGCTGCACTTCGGGACTCTCAGTCCAGACTCTAAAATTGTAAACAACAACAAAACAGCCCTGGTTTTGAAAGAAAATTTTAATACTACCCAATGTCAATTTTTCTCCCAATCTAGGGGTACTCCCTTGAGAAGTCTAATAATATGCACAGCTTTCACCTTTGAAATCGTAAGCTCAGTAGCCAAAAGCACATGGTTTAAAATAAACATACTTATCCCCATCCAGGAGCCCTAACAACCTGTGTCCTTAGTGTGTAACCTGGGGTTCTGTGGAGCTCAGGTACTCCAATGTCTACGGAAGGGACAGGCCTGGTTGTAAGGGCTATACAATGGTGCATCTAAAAGCGGAGTTAGAAAACACTACAGGCCGGGAGCGGTAATCCGCGCCCTGTAATCCCAGCACTTTGGGAGGCTGAGACGGGCGGATCACCTGATGTCAGGAGTTCAATACCAGCCTGACCAACATGGAGAAACCCTGTCTGTACTAGAAATATAAAACATTAGCTGGGCAAGGTGGTGCATGCCTATAATCCCAGTTACCTGGGAGGCTGAGGCAGTGGCTTAAACCTCAGAGGCGGAGGAGGTTGTGGTGAGCTGAGATTGCACCATTGCACTCTATCCTGGGCAGTAAGAGCGATACTCTGTCTCAGAAAAAAAAAAGAAAATAACACTGGATGACTGGATCCATTTGAATGTTGGCAGATCTGAATTATGATGTCATCTTTGTTGAATCTTAGAGAAGAACGTTGGTCATGTGGCTCTGGGCATATTTGTAAATTTCTAAGCATAAGTTTCTTCATCTCTAAAATGGTACTACTAATAATATCTACATTTTTGTTTTTGTTGTTATGAAAATTAAATAAGATGAAACCTATAACTTAGGCAGTGTCTGACAGATAGTCCTTAATACATGTTAGTTATTATTATGAACGTTTTGTTACACAAACACACTTTAAAATGCACTAAGGTAACTGATCAGATAAACTAAACAGTCAAACTTTGGGTGTTTATCTTTAGTCTACAATGCCTGTCATGGGTAATATTAACATATCACATGGTTAATTATCATACAGAGACCCTATATATTCATTTCAGAAAGCTGCAAGTTAAATGCTAACTCTACCAGAAAACAAGAAGTTAAAAAGACTATTTCCTACCAGGAACAGAATGAAAACTAACTGTTCCCTGGTAACATCTATTTCCAAGAACAGGACAGACTTTGCAACACTGAATTATATAAATTCTTAGATAATAAAACCCCATATCATAATTCCTAAAAATTCACTAACAGCTGGCCAGGCGCGGTGGCACAAGCCTGTATTCCCAGCACTTTGGGAGGCCGAGGTGGGTGGATCACGAGGTCAAGAGATCGAGACCATCCTGGTCAACATGGTGAAACCCCGTCTCTACTAAAAATACAAAAAATTAGCTGGGCATGGTGGTGCATGCCTGTAATCCCAGCTACTCAGGAGGCTGAGGCAGGAGAATTGCCTGAACCCAGGAGGCGGAGGTTGCGGTGAGCCGAGATCGCGCCATTGCACTCCAACCTGGGTAACATGAGTGAAACTCCGTCTCAAAAAAAAAAAAAAAAATTCACTAAGAGTTATAGAATATGTTCACAGGAGGAGTTTACAATGTTTGACTGATTGCACAAATGGCTACGAACTCTTTCCTTCACTGCATCTTACTCTTTGCAACATCATGCTGTAGGTCCTTCCATCAAGAGTAGAAATCTATTTCTCTACCCCTTGAATCTGGGCTGATCTTGTGACCAGCTTCGACTAACAGAATGAGGCAGAAGTGATACTGTACAATTTCCACACCCAGACTTCAACGGACCTTGCCGCTTCCACTCTCTTGATACTGGGACCCAAATAGCCACCATTACCATGAGAAGAAGCCCAAGTTAGCCTGGGCTAACAGTCCTGCTGTCCTCTGTATACCTGGCCAACAGCCTGCCAATAGTTAGACTGTACGTGAAACCACTGTAGACTGTCCAGCTACCAGTCAACCTTCTAGCCAACTGCAGATGCACAAGTAAGCCAGCAGAGATCACCTGAACTCACCCAGACCAGAATCTGCTCAACCAAACCACAGAATGGGGAGCCAAATAAATGGTGGCTGGTTTAAGCCACTATATTTTGGGGTACTTTGTTATGTGGCAGTAGATAACTGATACAACATGTAAGTGGAAAAGAATGAGAATAGAGAAAGTAAAGAGAAAAAAAGAACAGAGAATTATCTCTTAATCGGTCAGTAAACGTTAAAATATCAATCAGGTCTTTAATATGAGACAGTATTGTCTTTCACGACAAGAGAATACAACTATCTGTTGAAAGTATATGGGAAAACATTGAAGAAATCCCTTCCTGTTGATGGATTTGGTATTCTTCAAACTATCTACCACTGCCTGATGTTATCCTCATTCCTCTTCTCTCTTAGAATATAATAAAGTCTTAAGTCAGGGACTTTGTTAACTTCCTAGAACTTGGCAGAATGTAGGTGCTAGATGAAGGGATGGATGAAATAAAGGATGCAGAGAAATTGCAGATGTAGGTTGAGATTGGGGTTTGCTGACAGATCTAGCTCGATCTAGAACACCTCTATGAAGTCTAATTCTGAGTGCTATTTAAAGGTGGAAGGAGCCCTGAGTCTCTATGGAATATGCCTCGGCACCTTGATTTTGATGGCTAATGAGGCTGCTTAGGACTTCAAGCGGTTCCACTGTACCAGGATCAACTTGGAAATGGCCCACTATTGCTAAGATGTTCACTTTTGGGTATGCAAGAATAAAGAAGAAAAACAACAATGAAACCTACATTAACCTAGCTGTTTTAACTCTACCTCTTGGTACTTACCCTCCCCACCTTCCACTTCATTTATTTATTTATTTTTGCTTTTACACAAAGAATTACAACAATTAAGTGAAAAATTGGTCTGAATATATGTTTTCAACTACTTTGTACATGAATAGGCCTTAGCTATTGAAAATGTTTCAGTTAATACATTGCTTAATATAGGTCTATTATTTCAGTTACAGCTAGAGAGAAAATTACCACTGAATTTTACTTGTACTAAAATTAATCATTGATTCCAGTAAAAAACCATACTGGTGAAGTTGGGGGGAGAAGGTCCAAGAAGAAAGGGTTCTGGAAGAGCAAAGAGACCTGCTTCTAATTACAAATTAAAGTCATTACGTTGTGTCCTGTAGTACACCTTTGTGTCCTGTAGTACACCTTTCATAGTCTCTGTAGCCAATAGCCCTGTGTGATTTGATTCTGGTCCTTCAGGTACTAGAGGAATCTTCCCACCATTCTAGCATGAATCGCTGAGACAGAACATCTGCTTTTACCTTGTGATCATTGACTGTTGACAGAACACCTTTTGTCGTATTTATTTCACTGCTTTTAAAGTCAAATATAAACATGAAACACAGCTATGTATTACGACTTTCTTTGAGATAAATGAGAAAAACACTGATTATCACAGTGAAGGTGAAACGAATTGAATAGACAGGGTAAAATATACACGCCTTAGAACCAAACAGATCTGGCTCATCCACTAACTACTGACCTTGAGCAAGTGACTCACCTAACTAAGCCTCTGTTTCCTCATATATAAAATAGGGACAACGAAAGAACTTACCCCTGGAGGACTGTTGTGAGGACTAAAGGGAAAATGCACATAACTACTTCTTGAAACATGACCCTATCTATGCACTATAGTTGACAAATACATAAATATTCCATTCAATCACTGTTTTCCAACATAACCCAAAAACCTACCTTTTGCATACAAAGCAGCAATGATTTCCAGAAAAGGATCTAGAAAACCAAATATTCAGGGCCAGCGTGGTGACTCACGCCTGTAATCCCAGTACTTTGGGAGGCCGAGGCGGGTGGATCATGAGGTCAAGAGATCAAAACCAACTTGGCCAACATGGTGAAACCCCATCTCTACTAAAAATACAAAAATTAGCTGGGCATGGTAGCATAAGCCTGTAGTCCCAGCTACCTGGGAGGCTGAGGCAGGAGAATTATTTGAACCCCATAGGTAGAGGCTGCAGTGAGCCAAGATCGTGCCATTGTACTCCAGCCTGGATGAAAAGAGCAAAACTCCATCTCGGAAAAAAAAAAAAGGGGGGGGGGGGAAGAAAACCAACT